TCGCGGTAAACTTTTAGGTGTCATTGAATGGTCTGTGGGTGACATAGAAACTCAGCTAGGTTTTTGTTAAAAAGTTTTTTGTTTTACTAATATTTTCACTACATCATGTCCATCATTCAGTCTATCCATCATGTCTGTTCAGCACCGACTCTGGGACTTTATTATTCCCAATGATCTGATTGGTCAATCACTAAAATTGATTTTAAATTTAGTTTTGTTATCCAATCAGATAACTGTATTTCTTCAAATCTGCATTTTATATAAGTTAAGTTTTCGAGAATTAGAATATAAGTTAGATTTTTTCTTAGTTTGTCTAGAGTTCATGCTGGGTATTTTTTTAAGATTCTTTTTAATTCTACTATTTTTCTCGTTTTTCAGGGGATGAATTATACAAATCCTCGTAATAGAGTTTCAAATCACCAAAAATTAGTAAGTTAGATTTGAATATAAACATTTGACTTCTTGAATTTATTTGGTGTATATTAGGACAAAAACATTTGAAAATCTTGTTTTTGAGTTTGGGTCTTGAAAAGTATTTTATGATTTCACTAATGTAAAAGCCAATGGACAAATATTATTTTCAGTTTTTACAATAAAATGATACACCTGTAATGGAATAGCTAGCTATTCTTGTCAAATGTGTTTTTTTCTTTTTTTGATATTTTGTTGAAGTTATTCTGAAATTGTGTGATATTTATTCCTTTGTAGATCTTATTGCAGAAGTTTTTGAATATTTCTAACTTAAACCAAATCGAAGTCTTCCTCATTGGTCTTAACATTTTAGAATCAGTAGACAAGAACACTATATCAAGAACAGGAGATAGAAGTTGTCAATTTCTATGTCATCCTACAAATTTGATCACATTTGGTATTTATTATGATACTATTTCTAACCAAACGAAAGTAAGTTGTATTTTAATAGCCATTTGCATGAAAATAGCAACTATTTAGACTGGGTTGACCATTATATTAAGTATATGAACACAATTTCATGGTTTAATCTTAGGATTAGTGAGGATTTTAGACTTATTTAGTCAAGTTCCAAATTGGTAACAATTGAATGAACAGTTTCAGAGTTATTGCCCTTGACTTAGTAAAAATGCTTCAAATTTGGCTTGTAGGAAGATAGAGACCACAATTTTTATCCGATCTTAATGAAACTTGGCATGCATGTATATATTGATGAGATCTCGGTCAAGTTTCAAATTGGAAGCAATTGGATGAACAGTTTCAGAGTTATTGCCCTTGACTTTGTTAAAATGCTTCAAGTTTGGGGGGGGGAACAAATGGGCTACAAGACATTTTTCTGTTACATTAGTACCGTATATCTCCGAATATAATGCACAGTTTTTTACCCCAAAATGTAAAGGGTGCATATTATACACAGTGAAATAAATTTTGAGTTTTTTTCCCCTTCGAAAATACAGTGAATCGATGTGGAGGATCTGGTAGCTATTGCTATGGCAAATGAACTTTAAAGGGACTGTGGTTCCTGCAATCCCACTAAAACTAAGTATTTTATAACATCACCCCCACACTTAGTTATAGTGGAATTGCTATGACTGTAGACATCTGATTTAAAATTGGAATGGTGCAAATTTAATGCTATCATAGTCCCTGATACACATACAAAATTTAGAAAACCTCTTTACAATCCCTTTAATTTAGATCCCTTGACAATTTGAAAATGAAAATCAATAAACTTTGTGTTGAATAAAGAATAAAAGCTAGAATTTTCCAACTCCTCATCATATCAGGGGGAAAAAAATTGTAATATCATCTTTCTCTTTTCAGAAAGAAAAATATCTAGCAGAATTGAATAAGCATATGTTTAATAGTACAATAACTAATGTAAATAATGCGACCTTACCATATTTAAATACTAACGAAACTGTTCTACCTGCTCATATATTTTTATATCGTGGTATAATACTCCATTTAGTTGTCTTCCATAAAAGAGGTGAAGAACAGTTTCTGTGGACAGATAAAATAGACTTCCAAGGTTTAAAAAAGCCTCATTTTGTGAATCTGAATTTTGTAAACTATGGACAATTTCCAGCTGCTTTTGATTAGTAAGTATCTATAAGTTAAGAAAAATTAAAACAGAACCTAAAAAAAACATGTTGTTAATCAGAGTTAAACATGATGCAATCTTCAGACAACTGACCTATTTTCAGTCTGCATCCCTACTGAAGTTGGACAAGTAGATCATCTTATTATGTCTAAATTTTGACACAAGTTCGAATCATTTGTTTAAAGATGTATGCTTAGGGGCATTAATGATGGAAAGTTTCTCAGTTAAACATAGTTTACATCATTTGATTTTATTTATTGAATCTTTAGTTCTGCTTGAAACAAATCTCTCGAAATGCAGAAATAAGAATAAGTTCTACTTCGCTAAGGACGCAGGCTGAAATAGACCAGTTGTCTGAAGATTGTATATTGTGAAACTTCGAGTAAAAACATGTTTTTCTAAAGTTCTGTTTTAATATGTTTATCTCGCTCTTCAATTGATGTATTGAGCACTGTTTTAAAACATAGTAGTGATTGTGTCTCCCTCGGTAAGACTAGTTAATCTGTGTTTTTAATATTAGTACGTCTGTCAGGGCTGGAGGGGTTGATATGGATCAACAGTTTTGTCAATCTTATGGGACAAAAGCAATAGTAGGAAATAGAAAATACACTGTATGCATCTTTTGTTTGCTTCACAAATTCCCAGTGCTATAGAGGGAAGAAATTTGATTGGCTGGCAGTGTCATCTTACAGATGGGTTTTCCATTACAGCCTTTTTCTCGTTTCAGTTTTGAAAATTCTGTATTTATATTAGATGGAATCAAACTATTACATCCATCAAATATTCCCTTATTTCTCCAGCAAGTAGAACATTCTCAATTTGTTGAGTGTAATCATTCGTATGCTCAAATCCATCGTTCTAAATACCCTATGAAAGACCCACAAACAGCTGCAAATTTCAGCTCAACTGGAAAGTTAATTCTGAAACATGTCAAGAAAACCTTAGACCATATTAATGTGCCATTTCAATTAAATGGTGGAACTTTATTGGGTAAGTATCAAAAACCTGCTTACTCCAAGCTTTAAAGGGACAGGTGTGCTATTATGAGGGGTTGATTTTAGTCTTGAATATACATAAATAGTCTTCCGAGCAGGGCTGTTGATTTGGCTCTATATGCTGGACATGACAGACGGGGCTGCTTAAATGTCCGGCAGTCAGTATCCTCTATTGGACATCAAGTATAGGGTTAGCCATTACATGGCTTTCAATGTCTGTCAAATGCAAAATTCTCTAAATAGTCTTTAGAAGTACTAGACATGATTGATAATTGCATAATTCCTTCAAAATTATCTCAATATCGGAACACAATTACTGATTGGCTTAGCTAAAAAAAATTCCTTTATCTGAGACTAATGTACGGTCGGTCAAAAAAGTCAATTTAGAAACAAAAGTGCAAACAAAAATTCAACATTAGAGATGATTTCTCTGCTATATTAAACATTCAGCATTAAAAATGATCTCTCTGCTATATTAAAAATTCAACATTAAAGATGATCTCTCTGCTGTATTAAAAATTCAACATTAGATCTTTCTGCTGTATTAATAGAGATCATATTAACATGACCCAGAATTTTGTCCTCTAACTGATAATGTTGTTATTCCAGTCATCTGATATTAACATGACCCAGAATTTTGTCCTCTAACTGATAAGGTTGTTATTCCAGTCATCTGATATTAACATGACCCAGAATTTTGTCCTCTAACTGATAATGTTGTTATTCCAGTCATCTGATGGGTTTTCAGCAATTCAGACAATTTTGTTTATGATATATTGATAGGTTGGTATAGGCAATGTGAATTAGACTATCAGATGAAAGATGTGGATATTGAAATATTTCACAAAGATTATACTAGAAAGATACCTTCAGCATTAGATAATGGTACTTTACATAAAATGTATCGTTTTGGGAAGGTGAGTAAATGTGATAATATCATGCTGTTCTGTAAGGTGAGTAAATATGATAATATATTGCTGTTGGGAAAGGTTAGTAAATGTGATAATATATTGCTGTTGGGAAAGGTTAGTAATTGTGATAATATATTGCTGTTGGGAAAGGTGAGTAAATGTGATAATATATTGCTGTTGGGAAAGGTGAGTAAATGTGATAATATATTGCTGTTGGGAAAGGTTAGTAAATGTGATAATATATTGCTGTTGGGAAAGGTTAGTAAATGTGATAATATATTGCTGTTGGGAAAGGTGAGTAAATGTGATATGATGTTTGGTAAGGTGACAAGTTGATTTAATATAATGATATTCTGTCTGGTAAGGGGAGTAATTGTGATATCATGTTGTCTAGTGAGGTGAGTAAATGTATGAAAATTATGCTGCTCATGATGATGAGTAAATGTGATAATATCATATTGCTAAAAATGGAATAAATAGATTCAATATTTTCAATAGATTTTGCTGATAATTGCATATAAAATGGCTATGATACATATTTTGGACTATATCACTCATGAAATATCCCCTCGAAGTGGAAAGAAAAATGTAAAATCTATATAGGGATCTATAATTTAAAGGGACAATTTTAAAAATTGTCATTATCAAAAAATTATATCCGAAAATACTTCCAAAGTATGCTATTTATATCTATGTAGATATTATCTACTTGATCAAACTGAATTTGTTTATAAAGGTTACAAGTATTTTACTTAAAGTCGTACAGTAGTTGTTTCAAATCTTCCTAAAAGAACAACAAACTTAAATACATAAATAGTTTTTGCATTAAAAAAATCAGCAGCCGTATTTGTTATTTAGAACTTTCAGATATTTTAATGGACAGATTTCTCTGGCATTTGATGTATAGTTTTCAAAAATTTGACCAGAATCCTAAAAATGAATGTTTTGTATCCACATAATATTTGAATTTTTTTTCCTTTTCTTCCAGGAGAATGATAGCTTAGAATTTTCATTTTCGTTTAACTCTGTAAAGCTAGATATATTCATTGTATATGAGGATAGTGATTATTTTTGGGTTGGTGGAGTTGAAACTGGCAATTTACAAAAATATAAGTAAGTTATAGACTCATATTATATATAATACATTACAAAAAATGCCACCAACTTATTCTGAGGAAGTAAATTTATGTTAATTGTGGTTGTTTTAGAAGTAGTCTAGAGCCTTGGAGAACATTCATATTTCATCACAGTTTGCGAGTCAAATGTCCCTTTGATTTGATTTGCTAAACATAGCTCAATGGTCTGCGAATCAAATAAAACAATATTTTTCGTGTGTATTTTTTAGCAACTAGCATCATTGCCAAGATCAATGTTTATATTCTAAATTGCTCTGAACTCTTATGGAAAGCCAAAACTGAAATTTCATTCGATAAATTGCTAATCAAATTTTAAAATCTAAATTGAACCCTAATCTTTACTATGTGAAACTATTATGAACTTTGTATTATACCTTGACTGTAATAGTCACTATTCTGGTATCACAGAATGCAGGTATTTGATTGGATTGTAGGCTAGAAAATACAGCCTTTTTGCTTATAGACTTTCTGCTATGCATGCTAATTGACTATGGATAGTAGACGAAGTTGGTAATAGCTTGACATTGTGAAGATGGCCTTGGCTTTGGGGCTGTTAGCAATTAAATGTTGAAAGTTTTTTTAATTTTGCAGTTCGAATAACTTACTAAATACATATTATATTTTTGTTTATCAATTTCAGGTTTATTTATCCCAAATATTCCCCGTGTAGAGCTGAATTTATTGGAGTTTTAGTCAGAGTACCATGTGATGTTTTATCATCACTGAAGACAAATTATGGTGATAATTTTCTGGTGCCTACATATGATTTTCAGTGGGCTTCAAGTCCTACAAATATCTTTAAGAATGGAGGTTGGAAAGAGTCAGAAAGAAATGAAGTCGTTCAAATTTTTGATATTTAAAAATCTTTTGTAGTAGTATACCAGTCCATAAGATTGTGTTCCGTTTAGATTAATCTAGTCCTAGAATTTGTTTATAATTTTATTTATTCCTCTCAGTTCATCTTTACTTTTTGAGTTATTTTTATCAACCCTCTTGGGTAGTTTATATTCTTTATTTTTGAAAGTCCATTTGTCTAGTCTATTTTATCTACACAATTAGTTTATCTACGCTCAAGAGTAGTTTATCTACACTCAAGAGTAGTTTATCTACACTCAAGAGAAGGTTATCTACACTCAAGAGTAGTTTATCATTTATCTATATTCAAGAGAAGTTTATCTAGTCATGTAGTTTAGTTTATCTACACTCAAAAGTATTTTATTTTTTGTTGTAATGTGCAAATGATAACTGATATTATGCTAGTGAACCAAATATTTAGAATAATTTCACCTTAAAGAGGTTTAATGTATCTAAGAGATGTAGTTGTCTTTTAGAATTAAAATCTGATTTCAATTGAACTCAAATCATCTCTTGGTAGTTATTCACATTCTCCTATGCAGATATCACAAGTGACACAGTGGCGATAATAAGAATCATTAGGGGATAGGCAATTCTTTCCCAATTTAAAATGATATGAAATTTGAAAGGGGAGTTAAGCAAAGCCAGACCAGCTCTTACTGGGGATTCTGGCCCCCATGTAGTACACTGCTGTAGTGATCATTGTTTAGTTATATCTACATACGAGAATGAATTACAGTTCATGGTGAATTAGAAGTGATTTTAGAGCAACCAAACAGGTGGCTTCACCATAAGCATATAAGCACAAGTACTAAAAGTTTCCTCAGGTTTTCAATACTTGCTGAATCTCACCTAGCCTTTGTCACCTACATGTTTCCAAGCCCCTCCCTGTATTGAAGAATATTGTTCATCTTAAGTTTCTGCAACCAAAACAAAACCGTAGGCTAGGTAAGAGTTAGCAAGTTTAGAGCTTCGTCTTTCGTTTAATCTTCAAAAATCAGATAAACAGATTTTGTATTAAAAATGTACCTCATAATCGAACAAATATTAGCAGAAAGCCATTTTGATATTTATTTATTGTATATATTCAGATTTTTTCAGTCAATTTTTCTGGTTTTATAGAAATATATATTTTTTTTAATTTAGATTTAAATTTTCCATAAGAAGGATCTGATTAGGATATTCATCTTCGTAATAACAAATTAAAGGGACAGATTCGCCATTTCAGAAATTGATTTAGCTCTTGAATCTATATAAATAGTCTTCAGAAATACTAAAACTGTACAAAAATTATATAATTCCTTCTAAAAACTGCAAACATGGAATTTCATTTTCTATTTCTATATATGGTAGAGCCTCAAGAACAGACAGTCCTCATTTTTAACTTTCAAATGTAGCTAGTTCTGGTCACACATGGATTTGAAGACCAAATTTCAACAGTCAGCTGTGAACACTATTATTGTTAAGTTTAGCTACATATATTTTTTGGTCATCCTCAGTGGTAGTATTATACCTTTAATTATGTTCATCCAATATTCAAAACATAAACACAATCCATTTTATTTTGAGATAAGAAAATAACTCTAATTACTCTTTATACTTATAATAAAATCTAAATAGATTGCTCATGAATGAGTTTTGATTTCTGGATGATACAGATGTTTGATTTCTGGATTATACAGATGTTTGATTTCTGGATTATACAGATGTTTGATTTCTGGATTATACAGATGTTTGATTTCTGGATGATACAGATGTTTAATTTCTGGATTATACAGATGTTTGATTTCTGGATTATACAGATGTTTGATTTCTGGATGATACAGATGTTTGATTTCTGGATTATACAGATAATTGATTTCTGGATTATACAGATGTTTGATTTCTGAATTATACAGATGTTTGATTTCTGGATGATACAGATGTTTGATTTCTGGATTATACAGATGTTTGATTTCTGAATTATACAGATGTTTGATTTCTGGATGATACAGATGTTTGATTTCTGGATTATACAGATAATTGATTTCTGGATTATACAGATATTTGATTTCTGAATTATACAGATGTTTGATTTCTGGATTATAGAGATATTTGATTTCTGGATTATACAGATGATTGATTTCTGGATTATACAGATGTTTGATTTCTGAATTATACAGATATTTGATTTCTGAATTATACAAATGTTTGATTTCTGGATTATACAGATGATTGATTTCTGGATTATACAGATGTTTGATTTCTGAATTATACAGATGTTTGATTTCTGAATTATACAGATGTTTGATTTCTGAATTATACAGATGTTTGATTTCTGGATTATACAGATGTTTGATTTCTGAATTATACAGATGTTTGATTTCTGAATTATACAGATGTATGGTTAAATTCAGAAATATTAAGTTTATCTAGAATCATGGTACTATATTGTTAATTCTTCTGTTAGTGGTTGATTGTAAAGTTGTGTCAAGTTGGTATATTAATTATTGTTGTTTCAAGATTTTATTTATTTTTGTTGTTTCAAGTTTTTATATATATTGTTGTTTCAAGTTATTGTTTAGGGTTGTTTCATTGTCTATTGTTGTTTCATACCAAATAATAGGACAAAATGAATGTAAGTAACCACTGTTTAAATGTGCTATTCCTATTGAAAGGTGAAATTAGGAAAGCTAGGTAAAGATAAATTTGCATTGAAAGGTGGAAAAAAAAATGTACAAAAAAAATTTAACAAAATATTTGAAAAAATATGTAACACTGTAATCTAATTTTGAAAAAACTTACTTGTGAAACAAATGAACTAAAGAGTACCTTGGAGAAATAAATTTTAAAAACTTACTTGTGAAAACAAATGTAGCAAAAAATTCATTGCAGAAATGAATTTTAAAAACTTACTTGTGAAAACAAATAAACAAAAAAGAGTACATTGGAGAAATAAATTTTAAAAACTTACTTATGAAAACAAAAAACCAAAGGAGTAAATTTTAAAAACTTATTTGTGAAAACAAATAAAATATAGAGTACTTTGGAGAAATAAATTTAAAAAAAAACTTACTTGTGAAAACAAATGTACCAAAAAATTCATGGCAGAAATGAATTTTTAAAAAAACTTACATGTGAAAACAAATGTACCAAAAATTATAGGTGAGAAATTATTGTAAAAATGATGAAAATGTAATGATGTTGTTGTAACAATGTGAATAGATCTAATGAAATCCTTGAATTAAAATATAAGTATATAGTGATGAGACTAAGAATGAAATTTTCGTAACAATTGTGCCAAATTTGAGTGATTATCTGTTAAAAGGATGAATTGAGAAATGAAAATGACATCACCATCTGCTACTTGATCGAGTGAGATTGACATCACCATCTGCTACTTGATCGAGTGAGATTGACACCACCATCTGCTATATGATCAAGTGAGAATGAAACCACCATCTGCTATATGATTTAGTGAGAATGACATCACGATCTGCTATATGATCAAGTGAGAATGACACCACCATCTGCTATATGATCAAGTGAAAATGACATCACCATCTGCTATATGATCAAGTGAGAATGACATCACCATCTGCTATATGATCAAGTGAGAATGACACCACCATCTGCTAATATGATCAAGTGAAAATGACACCACCATCTGCTATATGATCAAGTGAAAATGACATCACCATCTGCTATATGATCAAGTGAGAATGACACCACCATCTGCTATATGATCAAGTGAAAATGACACTACCATCTGCTATATAATCAAGTGAAAATGACACCACCATCTGCTTAAATCAAGTGAAAATGACACCACCATCTGCTATGTGATCAAATGAAAATGACACCACCATCTGCTATATAATCAAGTGAGAATGACACCACCATCTGCTATATGATCAAGTGAGAATGACACCACCATCTGCTATATGATCAAGTGAGAATGACACCACCATCTGCTATATGATCAAGTGAAAATGACATCACCATCTGCTATATGATCAAGTGAAAATGACACCACCATCTGCTATATGATCAAGTGAGAATGACATCAACTCCCGTGATCATTATACACTTAGATGCTTATGATTCTGCTTTGAAGTAGGATTAGGCTTACCATAAGCAAGAAAAAATACCATTAGATGATGTGAAATTCAACCCATTTGAAATATCATCAACTTCTTAAAATAATTGTAAAGATATTTTATAAACTTCTATGTTAATCAGGGACTCTAATGGTATAGATGTGTACCATTCCAATTTTCAATTAAACATAGTTGCCCTTAGAATATTATATGCAGCTTTATTTATAGTGTCTAATAAAACTCCTTGCTTCAAAAGAACCATGTCTGACTGAAAATTGGAATGGTTCACCAAGAATCGAAATGTTTTAAAGCTACTAGACCGAAACATCTGTCTCTATTCCAGCCTCATTGTTATTTTGACAGTCTATAATGCTAGAATAAAGGCAGATGTTTCGGGCTAGTAAGCTACTTGACAAATCCACAAAATATTCCCAACCATGTGCAATCAAATCTCAAAAGTCACAATGTCAAGCTGTGAGAACTGCTCAGCTTCACATTGTGAAGATCTTAATATTTAATATAGTTTATTATTTAATAATCTTTAGATGTGGTTTTTATTTAGACGTCTTAATCCATATAGATTTAAGACGTCTTATTATTGGGCTGTTTGGTCTTCTACCACTTTGTATATGTATCTTCTTTGATCAAAATTGTCTTTTTACATAAATATACCTATTGTGATTTCTTGTCGGCTTTTTCTGTAATTTATGATGGAGTTCTGTTCCATTCTGTTCTTTAAATAGGCCCACAAAGTTATTTTCACTTTCGTGACTTCCTTGAAACTTAAATGCATATGATTTGCTTACTAAGAGCTCTCGTCCAGTAAAAAGGCACAATTTTGTACAAAACTCGGTGTAATTGTCCCTTATATTCGTTAAATCCCCAACATGTACTTCCTAGTTGGCCAATGCCGATGTTTGCAGGACCCTGTATAAATAGTCTATAGTTATGTTCAAGGATCGAGTATCGCTGATTTATTGTCAGTCTTGGCATATGTAATAGAGCAATGCAATACCAAATGAATGTAGTTTTGGAGAGTTCTGTTAAAATCGAGGGAAACGTTGCTCGAATCAGTGGCGGAACCAAGTTGACGTCCTAGGAGGAGCGAAATATCTGAGGTTGCCCGAATTTCTAACATAGTTATGAGAGTCATGCCCGAAAAACTTGCAGTCATGCCTGGCATAAATCCATACCTTAACACTAACAAAAAATAACCTTTAAAGGGTTTACGGAAAACTTTTAAAACCTTACTTTCAGATAAAACTAAGGTAAGCTACACATTTTAAGTTCTATAGTTTCCACCACCTCACTTTCTCAACATACTGAAAATCAGGCTGCCCCTTTAACATTGGAAACATCAATCTTAGGATAACTCGTATTGTGTACTATTGTATTCAGAATACAATTGAAGTGCCGTATCGTATCGCATCTATTATGATTATAAAACTATAAAAGATGCATAACTTGAAAATTATAAAAACTGATGAACGCTTCATTTGAAATCATTCGATAATTAGTTTCTTGTAGGAAGGACAGTGCTTTACGTTATAAATGTTTATTTGCTAGAATGTATGCTAAAATGTATCGTAGTCTCCTGGTATGTGCAGGTCTTTTGATTGACTGTTGTTATCTTTATCAACCATTTAATGGTAAGTAATTATTATGGACTAGAACTTACTTCATGGTGCGTACTTTTCTAGACTATTACATATTGGTACGTATTTTTCTGGACTAGTACTGAATGCTAAGTATTTGCTACTGAATGCTAAGTATTTGCTAGACTATTACATATTGGTACGTATTTTTCTTGAATTTTACTTATTGGTAAGTATTTTTATGGACTATTACTTACTGCATGGTGCGTATTTTTCTATGCTGTGACATATTGGTACGTATTTTTCAGGACTATTACTGAATGGTAAGTATTTGCTGGACTATTACATATTGGTACGTATTTTTCTTGAATTTTACTTATTGGTAAGTATTTTTATTGACTATTATTTACTGCATGGTGCGTATTTTTCTATGCTGTGACATATTGGTACGTATTTTTCAGGACTATTACTGAATGGTAAGTATTTGCTGAACTATTACATATTGGTACGTATTTTTCTTGAATTTTACTTATTGGTAAGTATTTTTATTGACTATTATTTACTGCATGGTGCGTATTTTTCTATGCTGTGACATATTGGTACGTATTTTTCAGGACTATTACTGAATGGTAAGTATTTGCAGGACTATTACATATTGGTACGTATTTTTCTGGACTAGTACTGAATGCTAAGTATTTGCTAGACTGTTACATATTGGTACGTATTTTTCTTGAATTTTACTTATTGGTAAGTATTTTTATGGACTATTACTTACTGCATGGTGCGTATTTTTCTATGCTGTGACATATTGGTACGTATTTTTCAGGACTATTACTGAATGCTAAGTATTTGCTGGACTATTACATATTGGTACGTATTTTTCTTGAATTTTACTTATTGGTAAGTATTTTTATTGACTATTATTTACTGCATGGTGCGTATTTTTCTATGCTGTGACATATTGGTACGTATTTTTCAGGACTATTACTGAATGGTAAGTATTTGCTGAACTATTACATATTGGTACGTATTTTTCTTGAATTTTACTTATTGGTAAGTATTTTTATTGACTATTATTTACTGCATGGTGCGTATTTTTCTATGCTGTGACATATTGGTACGTATTTTTCAGGACTATTACTGAATGGTAAGTATTTGCAGGACTATTACATATTGGTACGTATTTTTCTTGAATTCTACTTATTGGTAAGTATTTTTATGGACTATTACTTACTGTATGGTGTGTATTTTTCTATGCTGTGACATATCGGTACGTATTTTTCAGGACTATTACTGACTGTAACTTGTATTTTTCTAGATTATTATATACTGGTAAATGTTCTAGACGATTACATATTGATACATATTTTTCTGAAATATCGCATTTTGATCAGAATTTTTCTCAATGGTAAGTATTTGCTGGACTATTATATACTGGTAATAATCTTTCTGAACTATCTGGACAACCGCAAAATATTTTTCTTGACTATTACTCAATGGTTAGTATTTGCTGAACTGTAACTTTCTGGTAAGTACTTTTCTGGATTACGTATTTTCTGAAATATCATTTAAAGGGACAGGTTTTTCATTTTATTTTTGACCAATCATTCTTTAATCTCAGAAAAGGGAATAATTTAGGTAAGCCAATTATAGTGTCCATAGCTCACCGTCGAAATTTGAGCCTTCAAATCCACGTTTGTCTAGAAATATCCGCGTTTGGATGTTAAAACGACGACTCGTTATTATTTTAAGATACTCTGTGATATATAGAAAACATAAATATAGAAATAGTGAAGTATTTTTAAAAGGAATGATGCGATTCCGTACATAATACTTCTGAAGGCTATATTTACATACATGTATATTCAAGACTAAAATCAACCCCCAAAATGGCTTGTCTGTCCCTTTAATAATAGGTAGGCAAGATATACATCCGGAGAGGCAATGGTGCATGGTGTTATGTTAAATCTACGTAATACGTATCTGACATTTTATTGCGTGTGTAGGTTAACCCAAGATATTGGATATGTTTGAATTTGGGTACAACAGACACCATACACCGTTGCTTAAGGTGTTAACATACTGAAAATACTTTAAAAGTATCTTGTTACATGGTAGAGGCCAAAGTTGCTGTTAGATTTCATATTTCGTTATCCGCTAGATGGTTGATGAGTTCAAATCTTACCACCGTCTGACAAATATTGCTAGAGTTACATCCCTTGAAAAACTGAATATCCACTGGCTAATCTTTTTTTCTTATTTCAGACAATTTCGCCTTCAGAAGAAATTGTAAACAATCAACTTTAGGAAATGAAAATAGCCAACCAAGATATTGTAATCATGCAAATGATGGTAACTATATAGTCTGCTCTAGAACACAGTTTAATGATACTCTTGTAAAGTGGTGGCTGGTGGATTTTAATAAAACAGTCCAAGTGCAATCAGTCAATATCACTAACAGCCAAAACTTCCGTAGGTACTTCTTACAACAATTGATTCAGCCTTTATCAACAGTGACAACTTGATCAAGATAGCAGTACAATAGAAATAGCAACTATCTGGTGTTAGAATACTGACTAATAATCCTATACTTCATTTGGATAAGATCGATTTTTAGTGATTTTGCGATAAATGGTTTTTAAGGGCTTTCTTAAGAGTTTGGGCACTTATTCTTCAAAACTTAACTAAAATTAATTTCCCGTTTATTTCATAGGATTGGTCAATCACCATATACAATTAGTTTTAGTTTTTATTATCCAATCAGATTACCATATTTCTTAAAAATGTTCATTTGGTTCTAGAGAATTAGCCCCCAGATTGCGATAAAACATCACACAAAAAAAAGAAGAATTTAAATTATGATAGTTCTTTTAACGAATTGTCGAGTTATTGCCCTTGACATTCGCAAATTTTAATATCTTGAAATAATTGAAAACTGTAAATTAATGCATATTGGTATGTTGAGGTGGACTTATGTATGGCTATTTCGTGTAAACGTCAAATAACCTATGTACAACCGAAACTATATCAAGGCATGCACTAATGTACGAAATTAATAAAGAAAATCTTAGAACACCTTAATGTTTCTTCATCTGTTTTTTTCAGCGGGTCGCCTGGAAGATTTCACTATAAAAACCTATCACATGGATCCAACCATTTTCTATTCATATGGTAGTTTGTGTTATCAGCATACGGGAAAATTTCCCCCCAATACCACTGAAGTGAACTGTGCAACAGAGTCGTCCGGTCGATATCTAGAAATCGCCAAACTGAAGGTGAATACCTCGCCACTGGAATTATGTGAAGTAGAAGTTTATGGGTTCGAAATTCCATCTCAAATGACAGGTAAAACAGTATATCTTTATAGGCTTCATATACATGTATCTTCTTCAACATCAACTTGTTAACCAACATCTTTCTGGAAGAATTACTAACAGCCCAATATTAAGACGTCTTAATCCATATAAATTTAAGACGTCTTATTATTGGGCTGTTTGGTCTTCTACCACTTTGTATATGTATCTTCTTTGATCAAAATTGAACTGCTTCCAGAACAACAGTACTAGAACTGGGTTTCACATATCACACAAATTGTCGCTTCCACTCTGTCCGTCTGTATACATTTTAACATGTGTTCGTACCACAGACTACAATTTTTGACGGATTTTATTTTGTCTATAGGTTAGTACCAAGGCAAGGACGATGCCGTCTATCGATTTTCGTGATGATCGATCGATCACAATTTTTCATCAATTTTCTTCATTTGATTAGGTCTACCATCTCAGCTCAATACTCAATCTACAGTCTAACTTTTTTGACGCATGGTTTCTATGTTTGGTTAATGTGCGTGTTCATTGTCAATTTTCAAGATGATTGTATAATTTTTCAGAGTTCAGCAAATTTAGTGCTTAAAACGTTTTAGTTGAACTTGATACTTCTAATCCTTAAGGATTACTTAAAACTCTTGAGAAGATTAATGAAACATGAGTTAGCTATTAGGTCTATACATGTACGTTCTGAAAATACGCAAAATTCTAGAAAATAGCAAGCGTTTAAAGTGATACTACGTCTTAGAATGAACATAAAATTTAATTCTTAAGATTGGTCAATATGAGTATATATTCATCAGTGAACTTACCTGGTGTCATAAAGTTACAACAGAATCCATGTAAAATCTAGAAAATTGGAAAATTCATAAAACTAAGTAATTATTGAAAAACGCTTAATCATAATATTATGAAGTGTTTTTCAATAGTTAATTGCTTATTTATTAAGATTTTTGGATTTATCGGATTATATAAGGATCTTGTTATGTTATTTATGAAACCAGGTATATCTACTGATGAATATATGCTCTTTTTGGCCAAGTTTAAAATTTCATGTTTATTCCAAGACGTAGCATCCCTTTAAAATATCCTCCCAAACGACATTAAAATTAATAGGAAATACTAAAAGTAATAATCATTTCAGGCGTAGGTTACTGTGAGAATAAAGAATCAAGAATGGCTGGTATCAATATGAAGATGGATACCACAACAGCTATTGAATGCGCTAGAGAATGTGACCATGAACCCAGTTGTCTGGCTTTTAATTATGAACATGTCTCTACCAACAATAATTGTATCCTTTTAACACAGATTGGCCCGATAAACTACGATATTGGTGTTAGTTAGTGGGAGAAATGTGCACAAAATAAAATGAATTGAATTTTCTGAAATGTGTATATAGATATACTGAACAAACAATACTTGTCATGCGGACTCGAAAGTTTGCCGATTCGAGACACCAAAAGAGCTGAACCATTTTCATTGGAGCTCAAACTGAATGAAGTCTTTAGACTAAGAGCCTGGAGCTGGAATTTTCTATGATATTCAGTAAAAATTTGTATGATTTCATATATAAATTTCTGTGATTTACAGTATCAAATGATATCCAGTTCTTAAGATTCTCAGTATAATTTATATGATTACAATAAAAAAATGTTCTATGATATCTTGTTTTATGATTTACAATATAAAATGTTCTACGACAGTACGACAGGGGTTTTCTTTCTATTATACCCTTATGGGATCTTTGATAGATTGCATTACCCCCTTTCTCGCATAAACCGTTACTATTTCGTGTTTGTTTGCAATAATTTAAGTATACAATGTTACATGATATCTAGTTGTATGATTTCCAGTATAAATTTCCATGATTTACAATATAAAATGTACTATTATATTTAGTATAACAATGTATTAAAATGTTCATTGATATCTGGTATAAAATATATCATTTACATCATTAATACTTTATAAGTTACATCTGATAATAGCCTTCGATATATTGTCTGATAAATCGGATATTGAGTTCTTCAGTTTATCAAAATTTTTCGTTCTCCGGGGATTTATTTTAGTCTTTGTTATATCTTTCAATAACATTTAAACTTTCTCACATTTTTATTTATAACGTTTCCGATACTTAAAAAACACTTAAAGTGATATATTCGTTATCTTTTTGCTTTCACTTGTTAGACTCTATTTAAGCATTCAAATTTAGATACGGCATATGGCTCGCCTGTAATTGAAATCAAAATCACTAAATCGTTAATATTTGCAGATAATGATGGATATAACTTTGGACAGTTTAATACATCCAGTTTTCATCCTTCTAACAAAATATTTTGGTAATTGGGTTTGAGAAAAAGATGCGAGAATGTATGAGTTATTTTAAAACTAATTAGGGGACAAAATACCTTTAACATTAAATTTTTTATGAAGTAACCAGTAGGAGACATCGTCAATTAGCAAAATGAACCATGGTAAATGACAACAAGTACAAATAAATAACATGACAGGTATATACAAAAACTAAATCAATATAAAAATAAACATAATGAATAATTCTTATTGAAACAAATAGTTCTCCATTAGAAAATATATTTAAAATCACTTAGACCTAATAACACGAGCTAAAAAATATAGTGGTCCAAATATATTTGCTTTTCAAGTTGAAATAGGAATCTGTAAACCAGTAAGTAGAAATGCTAATAAAGTCTTAACTTTAAATGTGCGTTTTCATTGCATTGTTATGGAACCGGGCGTTTGATTTCAATTTTTAAAGTGACAAATATACAATATACAGCTATATTATTTGGTAAAGAGAATACCATCTCACATAAAAGAGGTCGACAAAACAAAAGATAGCTTGCCATGCAAGGTAACATACGCCCACTACCAGCTGTCAGAAATGATAACAAAGTCTGTAGTGGTTTAATATGTGAAATCAATCATCCGATTTTTACTAATTTCAAGCTTTACTGAGATCTCATACCAAGTTTCATCAAGATCGGATAAAAAATGTAGTCTCTATCAGGCCAACAAGTTAAATTAGACGCATTGAATTAATTCAAGGGCAACAACTCCAAAACCGTTCACCTTGCCCATATATACATGCATGCCGAGTTTTATCGAGATTAGATAATAACTGCACCCTGTATCATGACTACAAGCAAAATTTGTAGGGTTTTACTAAATCAAGGGCAATAACTCCAAAACTGTTCATCTGATTATGACCAAATTCAAACTTGAATGATATCTCATCAATATATACATGAATACTAAGTTTCATCAATATCGAATAAAAACTATAGCGTGCCTAAAAGTCAAATTTGATGTATTTTTTACTAAGTCAAGGGCAGTAACCCTGAAATCGTTCATCCAATTATTACCAACTTCAAACTTGACCGAAATCTCATCAATATATACATGCATACTTTCATCAAAGTTTCATCAAAATGGGATCAAAATTGTAGCATTTATTGGGCATACAAGGCAATATTAACGCATTTTTACTGAGTCAAGGGCAATAACTCTGAAACCGTTTATCCGATTATTACCAATTACGAACTTGACTGAGGTATCATCAATATCTACAAGCATACTAAGTTGCATCAAGATCGGATAAAATTGCAGCCTTTATTGTGCATACAAGCCAAAATTCCCAGAGACTTTGGAAGGGCACGCAGTGCGTTTCAAAATGACTGATAGGCTATATTTTGAGGAGGTTTTGGAAGAACTCTTCCGAGGAGGAATGAACCCACTGAGGTTGAAAAGTCCTTAATTGGCAATGAATCGTGTTCAGTGTAGTACAGTAGCTGATGTTTGAACCCTTAAACTAAAACCATTATTCTTAGGTCTTAATTGGGGGATGATTTCTGGTCAGTGAGAGAGTGTTCTGATAAGGTGTGTTCGATTTGTCAGTTTCTGTAGAGTTATATCATGATAGAAAGCAACGAAAAATCCGTTTCTCCGTCACACATCGAACAAACCCCTAATATGCCCCATTTTGTTAAAATCAGTTTGGGTGTGAGCTGAAAGATCGAAAACCAATGTATGTCGCTCATTGTTTACAGTTTGATGCAAAGATCCTTGGATGAAGTTGCTATCCTGCTGAGAGACTTTCACTGTTATAAGGTATGCAATTGTTACTTTCTCTTCATTTATTAAAGAGCGCGTAATTAAGCAGATGGGACAGTAATCAAAGGCCTCCTCAAGAAACCTTGGCATTTTGAAATCGGGGAACCCCTAATGCTATCGCGCTTCCTTAGCACCTCTGCGTTCTTCATGGATCCAATTTGAGTATCTTAATAGGGGCAATAACTGTAAATGGAAAAGTAGAACAAGTGGTTACCTAGCAAGATACGCCCACTTCCCTGATACATTTTCAGTATATCAAGGGCAGGCACCAATCTGTGTCAAATCATACCTTAAATCTAATTTGACTGATATATTGTTGATTTAATCAGACACTAAATTTAATAAAATTCTGACATAAACTGTCACCTCTATCGGTTCACAAGTCAACAAATTTTAATACATGTTTACTAAGTCAAGGGCAATAATTCAAATTCCGTTGATTGAAAAATTATCAAATTCAAACTAGACAAAGATCTGATCTTTATAAATGATCACACCAAATTTCATTTAAAACCAATGATAACTGTCAATGGCAATAACTCTAAAACTGTTCATCGAAAGATTGTCAAATTCAAACTTGTCAAAGATCTCATCAATATAAATGATCACACCATCAATATAAATGATCACACCATCAATATAAATGATCACACTATCAATATAAATGATCACACTAAATTTCATTAAAATCTAAAAACTGTATTGCGTTCACAAGCCAATTGTGGACCATTGGATGGACAGGGGTGACGACAATATAAGTACCACATTAAAATATGGGTGTATAAAAACGAGTTTGAGCTGTCTAATCAGATAATAAATTAACAATTAAGTTACATATAAATATTTATACATGTACCAATATACAATTTCTATAAAAGTTATAAATAGCAAACATTTTCTTAAGGAGGAATGTTAAGTTTGTGACTTGAGAAAATGAAATTTGAGCAACTCCAAGTTAAAGGGAATATAAAGAGGTAATCTTATTTTATTTATGTGTACCAGGGACACTGATAGCATCAATTTGCATTCAGATGTTGTTCCTGCGATTACACAAAAAATAAGTGTTTGATGATGTTATAATTGCAAAATTTGCTTGTATCACTTAAGACCCTTTGCCATTAGTGATGTCATCAAACACTTAGTATTAGTGGAATTGCAGGATACACATGTCTGATTGAAAATTGGAATTGATGCTATCAGTGTCCTCGATACACATAAAATTTTAGAAAAGCTCCTTACAATCTCTTTAAAATAAATGGTTAAAGAAATATTAATCACACTCTTTCAGATAAATAATATTTGTATAATTAATATAGATGTTATAAAATTTTCAAATAATAAATACAACTGCCATAAGTACAAAATATTGATTGTATCGGAAGATTTCATCTTGATACAGTCAAATATGAATACAAGTAATACCATTGGTGAAATTGTGGTTGAAACTCATGTATATTTGACATCACATGAACAAATGAAATTCTGCCATAAAAATGTATAAATTAAAAACACAACCATTTTTGTCATAAATATTTTCAAAAACAAATATAATACAAATTGTTCAAGGCTGTTGTTTTGAATTTTACTGCAAAGACATGTTTTAGCATCTGAAAATATGCCAGATTGATGTTTATTTTCTTAATTTGACCAATTTTCACCAAATGTGTTCAGATGATGCCATGAATTATGAAAAGATGCCAATAACGAGCACAGCCTTAAAATGCTATATACTAATGCATGTATTATCAGTAAAAAATGCCTGACAGGAGAAATTAATATTTCCAAAAAATAATTAATCTTATTCTCACCGTTCAAGTCATGATAGCTTTAATGAATTAAATTGATTAATAAAAACATTAATGATAATTTGTAACCTCTTTAGATTTGTAGCCATAAATTAAGAATGTAACAGTAAAATAAACAACCAAAAGTAACAATGTTTAACAATCTGGAATGCCATTATTGTTTGTGTTAAAAATCTAAAAGAATGCTTTAACCATTAATAATTAAAAATTGAATTAAATTAACAAAAATTCTAATCAATCAAACCAAAACAATAATTTAGTGATCTGTATTGAAACATAGGATCATGCAGGCAACTGTCACTATCATATCTTGGGTGACTGCTTGAAACCTACTATATGCCATATTTGGTCATTTTGACTTTTTGGTACCGTTTGAAAGCTCGTTTGAAAGCTCGTAAAAGCGCGGAACTTGTGATCAAAACCTCGTATTCTTATCTTGATTGTAAATAACTAAAAAACCACTAATTAAATAACACGTATATAAACAGTCAGATCTAAAACCTCGTAAAATATTGTATTATACGAGGTTCAATGTTCCCTTTTCTGCGGAAGAAAATTAAAACCTCATATAGTATTATTATACGAGTTATTGGTTGAATAGATCATAGTACTCAAATTGTTATACGAGGTTTTTATTTTCAAAGAATGAAAACCATGTATAGTGGTAAAAATTTTTTTTTAACAAAATATGCGTACAAATAGTTTTTTGCGTTTTCCTCGAAAAGTAATTCTGCGTCATATTTCGTTATACGAGGTTTCAAGCGGTCACCCATGATATACATCTTTACAGAATGCATGGTTCATCTATTGATACAAACAAGGGTAACCATGTAAGAGCCTTGATGAGTAAAATTAATAATATTTTTTTTTTCAATTCAAAAAGTATTTCTCTGTTTTTAAGTAAAAATTACAAAATCTTTGAAATATCACTCTGAGTTTTATAACATCCAGTCTGTTATTTTCCTCCTCATGTAATTCAGTTATCTAACAAGCCTGATTCTGAAAAAGAGGAAAATCACATTAGGATAAGTCACTAGAAATTTATTGTTCAATAAAATCAATTCATTTAAAATCATTACCAAAATGATCAGACTGCTGAAAATTCTTCTGCAGTTTAATTCATTCATTATGGTATCAATGAATCAATCATCAACAAAAAATTAAACAGTGCTTAAATAGGGATAATGACAATGGGTAATACCATGTAGCATCATGTAGTTATTCCCCTTGACCTAGTAAAACATGTCAAATTTGCCTTGTTGGCATGATAGAGACTACAGTTTTTATCTGATCTTGATGAAACCTAGTATGCACATACATATTAATGATATCTCGGACAAGTTAATCATTGGTAATAATTGGATGAACGATCTCAGAGTTATTGCCCTTGACTTAGTAAAAAAGTGTCAAATTGGCTTGTAAACACAACAGAGGCTACAGTTTTTAACCAATCTTGAAGACACTTGGTATGCATGTATATATTGAAGTGATCTCAGTCAAGATCGAAATTGGTAAAAATCGTGTGAGAGTTATTGCCCTTGACTTAATAAAAACACACCAAATATACACCACATCATGTACTGAGCAACTAGGGAAATATTGCCATGACAGCCTGTCAGGGAGAAATCATTAAGGTTCATAGCCAGTATATGACCTTTAAAGCCTGTATTCAATGTCCTATATCAATCTTCATACATATAACATTTATTTATCTATACTTGAACAAAATCCATATGTTCTTTTTATAATGTTCATGAGAGAATTCGCAAATATTTTTGTTAAAAATGAAATGAACATTTTACTTTTCTGCAAAGATGTGTGTATTTAGGCTTGGCACGGAAAGAATTGTTTAATATCAAAAATGTCTTACTTATTAATCTTGCTCTCTTTTCCTCAGCCTTCCTCTTCCATTCTGGTTCTATATTTTCTTTAGGAGAATCTTTCATAGGAGTAGAACGAGGTGCTTTACGTAGTTGGAGATCAGAAAACCATGGTGGTGTTATCTTCTCTTTTTCATCATTTTCATTAGTGTTGTTTTCTTTAAAACAATACCATCCATTTTAAAATAACACATAATATTAGATAAGGAAGTTTAACCAGGGACAGAGTGTCTTCATGACCAGTCTTTACACACCTTATCAAGGGTGTCCTAGAGGAAGTTCTTTTTTGTTCTTAAGAATATTAGATCTTGCGTTAAATGTTTCGCTGTTCAGACAGAGAATTACCCATGAGCACTTCTATAAAGGGCATGAGTCTAGATATCTCCAATATGAAAACAAATGAAGCAAGTTTGACAAAGAGATACTTGTGTTTCCAAACCAGATTCAAATTATACCAATAAAATTATTTGTAAGTTAAAAGCACTGCCCACCTTTTTGGTTTGTGATGTTCCTAGTTTCTACTACTGGTTTACGTAGATGAACTTCAGGCAAAGTCCTATCTTTGACATCACTATTTTCTTGATTCTTATTTTCTAAAATAAATATACACACGTGTGGTTATGTTTGGGCATCAGTGAACATTTTAAGAGATAATTGGCATTGTATTAGGCAACAACTCGTCCAAACTCAAACTAATGATACAAACATTATTGTCCAGTCCATGTCAGCCAGGATGACTTAATCAATTAAACAGAAATTATAATTCTATAACCTAAATAATTCTACACAGTTCAAAAATAAACCAGAAAAACACAAAATATACACATACCCATATCTAACATTTCTGCCACTTTGGTTTGTTTATCTAAAGCTGTTTTCATCCATGAAGGTTTTTCAGATTTTTGATCTTGTATAATCTTTTGGCTGTTATTTGAATCAGTTTTCACTCGATTAGATTTCCGTGCCTTTATTTCACTCATCCAAGATGGCTGCTTGACTTCTGTGTGTGAGTTGTCAGTTGTAGTTATGGAGCTGTTTCTATTGCTGGTATTTTTTTCTGATACAGAGTTATTTTTCTTGGATTTCATTTCTATTAGCCATGACGGTTCTTTTGGTGTTTCATTATTTGAATTGGATGGCACATAATCAAAATTTCTACTTGATCGTTTTTCTTGAACTTTGACCTTTTCAGAAGTTTCAGGGACAGACGGTCTGAAGTCCAGATTTGTAGAATGTCTTTTTGAAATATTGTTAGAATCTCTCTTAGGTTTGCGAAGCTGAACAATTTCACCAAAATTAGATTCTGATGAATTGAAGGAGTCTTCATTAGAAACTTTAGATGAAATATTGATGTCTCTTTTATTTTTGTCATCCACAACCGATGTTTTTGTCACTGTTTCTACATTTGGAGTATCTGTGATTGTTTCTGACACTGATTCATTTTCACTGCCACCAGTATAAGACAACCTATTTGGTTTGTTTAGAATTGAAGAAGGTGATTTTGGGCTGACAGGGGAAGTAACTGCAGTATCTTTATTCTCAATGGAAGTGGTAACTTTAAAATTAGACTTGAAAGTAGGTTTGTCATTTTTCTCCTCACTTAAAACATTGTCATCATCAAATTTATTAGATAATTTCCTTTCGAAAACATTCGAACTTGACTCAGTTTTTGGTGTTTCCATGGTTTCAGAACTGAACAGATCTTCTGAATTTTCACTTTGAACAGAAGTCGCCTTGTCTTCAAATGGTTTCTCTTCAGGACTATCATCGTCATTTTTGGAAAAAGGACCCTTGTCCCTTGCTGGAATCATAGGCAGGACTCTAATACCAGTTTTATTCAATTTTGGCTTTTCTTGCGCTGGTAGAGTTGGTAAAACTCGCAGATTTGCAGATTTATCAATTGCTTCCATATCTTTTGATGAAATTTCTTCCTCTTTCATATTTTCGTTTGTTGGAGATAGATCATCATCATGAACAGATAGTTTCCGATTTTTGGAAAACAACTGAAACGAAAATTAGAAATGTGACTGATTTTAGACGTATAAAAAATTGATCTCTAAACAAACTGCTTTATTAAATAAACCAAGTATTAATATGAACCATAAACCCGAAATACAAACAACATACTGGTGAAACATTGGTAGCAGCTAAAAGTCTCTCATTTAAATCGACTAGACTGCTTGTCTCATACTGCCAACATGTTTCTGATAAACAATCATCATCAGGACAGGACACCTTTATTTGAAATGGGGGTCTCACTCTCTAAAATTCAACTTGAGGCTTATGAGAAAGGAACTCATATACATATTCCAGCTATACACTACCTAAACCAAATATTCCTTCAAACCTTTTATGATTAGAATAGGGAGAAATTAGGAAAATTGACAATCCAAATTTAAGTCTGTTTCAGATCACTTACTTTAGATGTGCTTAAATCCTGTAAGCCAGGCATGGCAAAACCAGGTTTAGGTGGACTTTTAACTGGAGATATAACTTCATCTGGTTCAGGTACAACAGTGTCTTCTGGCTCACATGATTCAGGGGAAGTAACTTCTGGTTTTGGTTCTGAAATATAAGTGGATACTGAAACTCTCAACATTAGGTATTTGGGGGTGAAAGCTGACAATGGACCCCCCTTTAAGCACACGCATCAGAATTTTTCTTTCCTTGAGAATTCGAACCCACGGCACCTAAACGCCTAGCAGACAACAATCCAACAAGGTACAGTCGGAGGGGGATACATCTGGTTAAATGATAAGTCTTTGGTAATAAAACAACATAGGTCAAGATCTTTTGTACTTTTACTTTTTTCCTTACAAATTTCCATCATTGCTCCCTGCCAGCCAGGGCCAGACATGAAATATCAAAATATTATTACTTAAATATGGAAATTTTCATATTCATGATTAAAATTGTTAACAATAGCTTCTGCTTAATGTGAATTTGATGTTGACAGGATTGTGACAATTCATTTTGCGATAACTTCTCAATTTCATGATGAATTAAGAATTCTACCTCCACTTGTATACCTATACATAATGTCATCAAAATATTTACCTGTTGAATCAGAAAAGAGAGAATTGTCATCTGTAGGAAGAATACTTCTAACACCTTTCCTGGAGGGTTTTCTACGCAGGGCATAGGATCCCTTTTTAGCAATTTGACCTTTAAAACGTTCTGCATCTAAACCAAGATCACTAGTGGATGGTAGCTGTGGAATCATATTAAATAGTTCATTAATAGAGAGACAACAATTTTTTACAGGAATAACATTTTTAACTTAGGTTCATGAGGATCCTTTCTACCAGCTGGTCTTTGGCCAACCAGATGTTGACTGAGATGAGAACTCTTGACCACCATTTGTTTCATGGAACCAAGCAAATAACACTCTTGAAAACTGACTGCGCTTCAATTCTCAATTCTCCAAGTAATAGATTTAATTTCAGATGTCAGATGTCCTTATGGTTACATTTCTACTGATGAATTCATTTGTAGGAAAATGGCTTTGTCTTCCCTTCATACTACAGAACCTCAATAAGCTTATACCTGTACATACCTCTAAGACATCAAAGTTGATTTCTTTTTGGTCTATATCTCCACTAACTATACTTGTATTTGTTGTATTCTGTAATATTGAATTATCCTTGTGCATAATATGAATGAATCGCTTTAATATTTTTCTTCAAAATCTCATAAAAACTGTTTCAACTGATATGTGTCATTTCATTTTGATCAACTAAGGGAGACAACCAACAACACTATCTCTTCATATATCAACAGAGAGATCTGAATAAGGCTCTCATTTAAAAAGCTATTATATCCAAAACTTCATAATATATAACATGGTTCGTTAAATGGAATAAAAATGTCAAAGACGAAATAACCTGATGCTGTATCAAGGGCTACATGTCAACTGACTCGAACTGCTTTGGTGAATCAAAATGGTATCACTTTTGATAAGTATATTATTTCATATTATATGTCATAATGTTTTCCTTATACAGGTAACTGACTAAATTTGTCATTAAAGCTGGGGCTTTTTTTATCAGTCATGACTGGCACATGCATCCCTGGCATGCTTGTACTAACCTGAGAATCATCATTTTTAATTAAGTCAAAATCCAGATCTTTAGCATTTGATGAACTATTGGCCTCTTCCATGGTATGCTGATCGGTATTATCTGATGGTATACTATCTGTTATATCATCTTTATTTATTACTTCATATGTTGATAAACTAACAGGGTTATCACCAATATCCCCCTCCTAATAGTATGAATAATAATCATCATTGTCATTAATGTCTATTAATCATCATGATGATCATCATGATCACCATCATCATCATCTATTTCATTTCAAAATGGTGTTTACCATCCCAAACTTCTTTAAATTGGACTCAAAGTATATGACATAATATTTTTAGACTCGGAAAAGGCTGAAGTTTTTTTTATATCAATTACTTATATTGTTTTTTATGTTGCTTCATGCTAAATATAGCAATCTGTATCAGACTTCAGTTAAAAAGGGCATTAAAACTTTGACCAGTAGGTAGCCATTACCTGTTTATAATCAATAGACAAATCACACAATAGATCTGGTGCTATATCTGATTCTTTCTCATCCTGTAAAAATAACAAGATAAGCATGAACTACCACAAGCCAAAGGACTAATTCTTCTGATCAGAGATCAGAAATAGGTTGTATCATTCAAAATGTTTACATCTAGAGTCTTAAGGCCCCCATACACGATCAATTTGTTCGTTAATTAATTAATTAACTAGTTCAGCATGTGGAAATCTGGTGGCTTCTTCAGGTCATCTTTATGAGTTGACCAAGCTATAAATGGGTAAAGATATAGAGGGAACAAACAATGTCAAGATGCTTGACCAAGGAGCAGCTGGCTGACATGGTCCAAGAAAAAATTCTCTTAAGAAATGTGTATATTAACTTTTCATGTCTCCTGAAATTATGTCACATTCTGTTTCTATCATAATATTTTTTTCTCACATGTAAAAAGCAAAAATAAAAGGCATCAGAGACAACATGGTCTTCAAAAATGGCACAAACCTTAAAGTCATTAGTATTAGGAACAATTGAAAAATCACTCAATGAATCAAACAAATCCACATTACTAAGAGTTGGTGGTGCAGGGGTGCTTTGGTGAGTGGTGTGGGGGGTGCTAGGGTTGTCATTTCCAAGGAAGTCTAACAAATCATCAACACTATCTGCTTGAGCATTTTTTGGAGGTGGAGAATCCATTTTAATTTTTACACGAAGATGCAGAATGTAGCTTTAAATCTATCAAAAAAAACAGAAATTTGAAATTGTTTTTTTTTTAGGGCAGAAGTGAGAAATTTTTGCTCCAATGCATATAGGAATTGGAATGGTTTTGATTAAGCTCTCTGTTATATTTTGCCTGTGGTGGAATCTTCTTGGCATCTGTGATCTGATGAAATTGTTCTTTAACATGTGTTCTGGGTCATTGAAATATTCAACCAATCAAATGGCCTGTACAATAAAAAAAACTACATGAGAAGAATTCTGGGATATGGACTGTTGGAATGTATTATCAGCCCCCTTTTTTACAGTGATTAATCTGAATAAATTCAACAACCTTTGAACATATTTGAAAAAAATCTCACAGAACACGGTTTATGAAAGAATTTCAACAGATCATGGATGACAAGGGTAAAAACTCACTAAAAACCACAAACATCTTAAACATATTTTTTCTTTTTAACAAGTCTATTAATAAGTTAGTAAATTATTAAAAAAAAACAACAATTCCATATTAAAGTAATACTATGTCATAGAATGAACATAAAATTTCAGTTCCCAAGAATGGTCAATATGAGTATATATTCATCAGTGAACTTACCTGGTGTCATAAAGTTACAACAGAATCCATGTAAAATCTAGAAAATTGGAAAATTCATAAAACTAAGTTATTATTGAAAAACGCTTAATATCAAGATTAAGCGTTTTTCAATAGTTAATTGCATATTTATGGATAATTACTAAGTTTTTTGGATTTATCGGATAATATAAGGATCCTGTTATGTTATTTATGACACCAGGTATATCTACTGGCTCATATTTGCCAAGTTTAAAATTCTTCAATTTTATGTCAATTCTAAGACGTAGTGTCACTTTAAGAGAACTCTATTCCTAATCCATTTAACACAAAATAACATAGAACACAAGTTCAGTAAGCATGATAAAAAATAATAATTCTCAATCACAATAATCCTTTCAAGTGACACACGATATACATTACATTATAATAACTTCTAACATAACATTATCTACTTCAATGAACATTGAATGATAGAGGAAGTTTAATATATCTTGTATAAGTTTATACCTATAGCCTATATATGCAATTATATCTAATGCTCAAGGCCATGATTTTAATATTAAAGAATTTAAAAACATAGTCACAAAAAATTAGTCTCAATCTATCTTTTTTTTTTGTTAATTTCCTAAGTTATTCAATAAAAATTATGTGAACCAAACCTTTTTTCACTTTTGAGAGAAATTTCAAATACGCCTTACTTCATATTACTTTTACTCTTGGCTGTGGCTATTCGCACCAGGACGGTACAAAAATGGGCATTAAAAAACACTAACCCTAACAAAGTCACATAATATCATTCATGACAATCAAAATGGCTTCACGCTATAAGAAAACCCAAAAACTAGTGCGCCTATTGTGTTTTATCTTATCCGTACGTTGTTAGCAGCCATAGAGAACACACACTGTGACAGTGCAAATAGCCAGTGCGTTTACTCTTAGCATGAAACAGGAATGAATTATTCTGTCGGAAAGACACCTTTCTAATATCTAAATCTTATATATTATACAAAGACTTATCTGTCAATGAGAAACAGGCAGTATGTTAAATTCATATTATTAAAAACAGTATAAATTATACATGAAAATATTTCTAAAGTATGCTATTTATATCTATGTATCTATTTGATCAACCTAAATTTGTTGTAAAAGGTATGATTAAAAACAGAGTGTGCAAGTTTAAACTAGCTTTGGATATTCGCCCCATTTTGGTCAATAATTTTTTCACTTTCCTAACCTACCACCTGTTGAATACCGATTTCGGGTAGTATTTCACGGGTAACTGGGTCTGATTTGAGATAATCGGTTAACAGTCAACTTTATAAGAAGTAAAAAGAAAGCAAGTTTGTTATTATTTTTATTATTTCAACGAGTTATGAAGATCGTATTACTTTTTATCAACTCTCCTCTAATTGGCTGTTTGTTTCTTCTTGCCTGTCAATCAGCTTCAATATTCATGAGTACAGATTCATTCAGACAATAGTTTTAAACCAGTTGTGGGACCAGTACACTGATTTGTGGTGACACACTCATAACACTGACCTCACAACTGGTATAAAAACCTTTGATCTGTTAGAGACTGTAGCAATGGGTTAAAATGGCGCCAGTCCGTCTGAACTCTGTCAGGCCCGCTCATAATCTTACATTGAAGCAGACGCTTCAATGGGTTGTATGGTATCTACCGACAATTCCCAGGGAACTAGCCAAAATCTTCCGAGGTACTCATTTACACTTACTGTAGTTTAGTTTACGGTGAGTTACCGCCGCAAATTCGGTTTTTGACTCCTTTTTTTATAATCTTTAGTAATTAACCGGGGTTTACTGGGTTACAATGGTTTTTACTTTAAAACTCAGATTGTCCCTTTAAATCTAAAACATACTAATAAAAGTTTAATAGTATTAGAATAAAAGATAAAAGGAACTTATATAAACATGTAACTTTAATATACAGGTAAATATAATACTAAATATACATACTGAAGGTTTTCTGGTTAGTCCATAATGTTAGGTTTCTACAACCTTATTTCAATATTAGCTTCACCTGCAAAATACAAATAAAAACATCTTTTAGATTTCAAAGGGTAGTCATCAACAAAACCTATAATGAAAATTTACAAATAAAATTCAGGTTTCAATAATCCATCATGACACAATTGGTCAAATTTTTGTTCGTAGATAGTCAAATCAGATAGGAAATTGTTGTAATAGATTTCATCTTAAACTATTGGTTGCCTAATGCCATATTTCCATTCTAGACGAAAAGCTAGGCAGAAGATGCCTAATTTTGCTTTCATAAACCTTAAAATTAACTGTTGAATCACCCTTGCTTTCAAGGCTCATACCAGACAATATTTCATTGGACAATAGTCTATACAAAAGAAAAATTTAATCAAATCCATGAAAGTATATTGTAAACCTCAAGGAAACCACCTAGACAATCATTCTTTATGTATTTAATACAATATATTCGAAGGCAAATATTCTTCTGTCCAAACTTGTGCAGTTTAAAATCTTATCAATACATAGAAGCATAGTTATAAATACATATGACAGAGATATTGTAAAAGGGTTTCCTAATATTTGGTGTGTCAGACACCATCTTCCTTGAAATTACCAGTGCACACAAGTACATTTTGGGTGGTTGATTTGAGTCTTGAATATATGAATATAGGCTTCAGAAGAACTAGAAATGTACGAAAATCATATAATATCTTTAAAAATATCTCAAAATAGTTATTTATATCTACAGGACCGTTTTGATATTGATTTCATAAAACTCTTAGTTTTTGTTGAATGGCAAGAACTACAGATTTCCGACTGAAAATTAGAATAGTGTCAATCGATGTCATCAAAAAAGATAAAAAGTTTAGAAAACTTCTTTTAAGTCCCTATAAAGTAAACTCAATGTGCCTAAATAAGGATTGGTTCAAACAAATTTTCAAAAATATCAAGCAAGGACTTGTTTACCTTACATAAAGAAAGGTACATCCTATTCATATGTATATTATTGTATTGGTAAATAAACTGATTACAAAACAAACTGAGTAACATAGTTTATTGCATTTCATTATACCAAATTTACCTTCACAAGGGAGAGGTTCACAAATAACACACATAATAAACACTAACTATATTTTGTGATGCATAACTAGGTGTTTGTCATTTTAAAGTTTTATTGCAATTCTCTTCTCAAACAGTTGCTCTCATTCTCAAAGGGACATATTCGTAATTTTTTTTAACCAATCTTACCTCAGTCAGAATTAGAGTTCACAGCTCACCATTGAAATTTGAGCCTTCAAATTCATGTATGTACAGAATTATCTGTGTTTGAAAGTCAAAACAATGAGTCAAGTTTTCTTGATACACTGCCATTTATAGAAAAGATAAATTTGGAAATAAGAAGAGAAATTCCTAGTTTGAAGTATTTTTGAAGGAATTATGTGATTTTCGTACATTTCTAGTACTTCTGAAGACTATTTACATATATTCAAGACTCGAATCAACCCATCAAATTGGAGCATCTGTCCCTTTAAAGCTTGGATATTTAAAGGGATAAATAATTGTTTTCCCAGTGACAAGAGCTCACTTTCAGCTTTTCATATAACTATTCAGAATGAGAATCTGACATCTGGTTGTCTGTTAATTCAAAAATAAGGTTGAAGAGGTTTAAATATCCTGACCAAAATAAAAATTTATCAAACAGTTTCTCAAGAACACAATATGATTAGTCAAACCTTTACCCTTACATTTTTTTCTGACATCATAGACGAAGGATACATCAAATTTTAATTTTGAAAAGAGAAACAGAATGCTTAAATTAAGCTCTATGATTTATAAAAACAAATAAAGTCTATCTATTCCCTTTGTAGTGGATTTCCAACCCTGCAATATCCTTTAAATCCCTTCAACTTGTAAACCACTATTTCATTACAAAAATCCCCATGCTCACACTCCAGAACACCTGGTGCCAATCTGCAGCTGGTTTGCTACTTTGACATCCCTTTCTAAAGGTTCTTAAAATACAAGAACTAATATCGTTTTTCTATTAACTTACACTATACCTTGTTACTCTTCAATCACCCTAAATTATAATTATTAAATAAAACACCATACCCATTAATGAGCATTTTTCTGAAATCCTATTTACATGATAAGCATAATCATTAACAAACAGATCGGCAAAGTTTTCTAAAAAAACATCATTAGTGTAAAGGTATCAGTCAGTGACTAATTCTACTATAATATACTAATAAAGACTGTATTTTCTCTGTATAATGATTGAATGGATGAATGAAGATCGGTACTTAGAACGTTGACACACTTGAATGATGACACAAATTACATACTAAGTCTTATCAATGAGGCCTTTCTTCTCTTATTCCCTGGTGAAAAATTAGTAGAAGCT